AAATGCAAAATAGATACATATTTTGCAATTCCTATTTAAACGTGATTGTTCGTATGACTTTTGTCGTTTCTGTTTAAACGATATAAGTAAGTTCTGGATGCTGAAAAATAAATACATGAAAATAATTCACATTTTATTGAAATTACATTAGTACTTATAAAAGTTTTTTTCTTGATTTATTGCGCGCAAATTCATTGATTAAATCATTAAATTCAAGATTTTTTAGCAATTCGCTCTCTATTGCTAATAATGCTAATGACGATAATCTAGTATCCGTCATTGTGGATCGATATTTATTTTTTATTATAGTTAATTTAGAAAACGATCGCTCGGCCTCGCAATTTGCGATCGGTATTGTCATAAATAGTCTAAATGCTACGTATATATTTGGAAAGACTTCTTCAAGTTTTCGATCGCACGTCCATTTTAAAATATCCAATGGAAAGAATGTAACATTTTTGAAGCTAGTTTTTATAAACGGAATAAATTGTTCCAGTTCGCAACCTAAACTACTTTCTAAATCATGAGAATAAATGCTAACAAGACGATTAGCGCACTCTCGCATTTCATCGATTTCGATGGTCGTCAATTTAGTTAGAAAGCCAAATAACTTTGTTATGTGATTATACGCCGAACTTCGTTTTTCTAATTCAACTCGAAGTTTGTCAACGATTGCATTAAATGATTCAATACGGAATTTTTCGCAACCATTTAAATTTTGAATCTCCGTTACATTATCTGCACATTTTTTTTTAATTTTTCGTTTCTGTGTATCAGAATATTTTTGTTGTACAAAAGAGCCTAAATTTTTAGAATCGTTTTCTATTGCTACAAAATCATTTCTTACGTCACTAATAAATTTAACTAGCGAGTGTAGCATATCATTAGCCGTAATCAAGTCGAGTTCGATTTTTTGCACAAATTTGCTAGTTATATTGAATCGTTGAAGAACTCGATGCCAAAAAACTGTCATAAATGCAGTTTCTAGTTTTGTTAATTTGTTTTTTAAGGACATTGCTTCGTGACGAGTTTTGGTCTTTTCTTCTTCACTTTGCTCAATCTCATACAATGAATTATATAATTCTAAATAATTCTGAGCTAATGCAGTAATGGCATCATCGCGGCATGATCATCTTGTAGAAGATAAACTTTTTAATGTAGTGCTCGCGTGTTTTAGCAATATGCTCCAACGATGCGTAGAAATGGAAAAGAAAGCATAAAGTCGTTGTACGAACCGGAAAAAATTTACAGAATCGATACATTCATCTACGCTGCATTCGCCAACTAAATTTAGTGAGTGTCCTACACAAGGAACGTAATACGCAAGATGATTAACTTCTTTAATTCGTGCTTGTAATCCCGAGTATTTTCCAGACATGTTACTGGCATTATCATAAGTTTGCGCTCGACAGTAAACAATGTCAATTTCATTATTGCAAAGAACTTGTAATATTGTTTCATTCAATGATGCTCCAGTATGGCTATTAATAGGTAAAAAGCAAAAGAAGCGTTCATACACACAACCATCCAAACAGTACCGGAATACAATAGATAACTGATCAACGTGAGATACATCTGGTGTCGAATCTACAATAAGGCTGAAATATTTTGCTCTCTTAATTTGGCTAAGAATTTCGTTCTTAACTTTGTTAGCCATCATGTGAATAAATTCTTCACAAATATCTTTTGACAAATAGGAAACGTGCCCGCGACCTTGATTTGCATGCAAGTCAAAGTGTTTTTTTAAGAATGGATCAAATTTAGAAATCAGTTCCAAAACACCCAAGTAATTTCCATTATTTGGAGAACCAATCACTTCATGCTCGCCCCGAAAAGCAAGACCGCGTGCAGAAAGAAAACGAATTACTTCGACAATGCGTTTTAAAACTTCAGTCCAATACTTAATCTCATCTTGTAGCTGCTTAGCCATATAATTATTAATATGTGATTTTTCATGCACGAATGTGAGCCAAGTAAGCATGCATTTTTTGTGTTCTATTTTCATGTCCACTAATCTTTTCTTCTGCTTTCTTCCAATTGCTAAATCCGCCGTTTACAAATGTGTTTGTATTATTTCCACTAAAAAGCTTACAAACGTAACAGAAAACATTCCCAGTAGACTCTGAATATATCAACCATTTTCGCGTGCATTTTTCACCGTTAGCCAAAGTTCGTGAAAAAACCTTTGAAGATAAAAATCTGTTTTGATCTTTATATTGTCTAACAGAAGCTTGAAAATTGTTATCTTTTTTCTGAAAATATTCATAGCCTTTATCCAAATACTTTTGCCTCACATCATCATGCATTTCCATGGGCCACAGAAAGGGATCTTTATTTACAGGTTCTGAAAAGTATAAAATAAATAAGGAGAAAGAATAGGGAGAGAGAACAAGAGATAGGAGAGAGAGAGAGAGAGAGAGAGAGGACGGGGAGAAAAGAGAGACTGCATTGACAACTGACAAGATTTTGTTTGTCACCACAATCAGAAGATTCTAAATGTACAGAAAACTTGTGTAATTTTTACAAAAGCAGCAAATAAAATTTTATATTTTAATTTTGCAAATTGTAACCTGCAAAAACGTACCTATGACGAGCTTGGCTTTCCTGCTTATTACGTTCTGATTATTCATGTCACAACTGTCATCTGAGTGTTCATTACAAATGACAGCATCCTTAATACTGAGTTCATCACTATTAGTAGAAAGTACCGAATTTGATGTTAACACCGAGATTTGCTGAATTTTATCGTTATCTTCATTAGCAATAGTGCCTCCAGTTTTTATTTCGGCAGGAAAGAAGTTGGTCAGTTTCGGTAGTTTATTTTTAAAATCTTCATGTTTCTGTTTCGCTTTACGTTTCGAAGTACCACTAGCGTATTTTCGTGGAATCATCACAAACGATAAATGGTAGACCGATAAACATGGACTTTCCCAACGGATGCGGACGTCTTTTACTTTTATTCATGTGACAATTGCCGCACGCGGCAGGGCGGCCACAACGTCATGAGAAATAAACAAATTTTAGGGACTTTATATATGTGTGTGTGTGTGTATATCTTCAGATAAAAACACCAGTGTACTTTTTTTTACTGAACATTGTGTCTGTACACGATGATTCATTGTATGAGGAATGCAAAATTAAAATTTTTAATTATTTATTTGCATTTAATTATTTACTTTCATCGATGAAATACAATTTTATTTGAAAGCTAAGGGGCCCCTTATAAAGATGGGGCCGGGGGCTGTAGCCCCCTTAGCCCCCCCCCCTTAACCCAGGGTCTCTACCTTATATTCTCGTCGCCAAAAATAGTGCGTTACTTCACCAATTGAATGATCGTCGGAGCTAATAAAGTCAAGCATTGCTCGAAATTGATTGTCGAGAAATCTCGACGTTGATACAGGATCTTTAGCAACAAGTTCGCTAACGGATAAAGAAGCATCAAGCCATTTATTTACTTCACGAATATATTCACCTAAATCTTCCCATAACCATTCACTCGGACTAAGTGTTAAAAACCATGTCGCAGGTCCATAATGCTGCGTCATGCACCTTAGATTACTTCTCGGTTTACGCCAATATTGTTCCGTATTTCTAAGTGTAGAAAATATTGTTGTTAGATCAGATTCCAACTGTTCTTACGACAATGCTTCTAAATACTCTGCAGCCGTATAACGATCTTGAGGATTAGTTGTATTCAATTTATGATAAATTTCACGTCTTAGCTGACGAATATTGACATCATTCAATAAATAAAATAAATATTGTTGGTTTAATCTGTATTTTGGATGTTTACCCAGATAGCACATGGACATTCAATGGATGTCCATTGAACGTCTATTTTCTGGACGTCGGACATCTATTTTTGGTCCAAATAAGATTCGTCGGACGTCTGATGGACATCCATATCACATACGCTTGACACAACTTCGGACATCCATAAAATATCTGAAATAAGACTGTTGTTGAACCTATTTTGGACTTATTTTGGATCATCTTGGACGTATTAACGATATCCATAATAAATCCAAAATAGGTCGAAAACGGTCTCATTTCGGACATATTACGGACGTAATTTTGGGATACATACTCGCGAATCTAATAAAATACTAAAACAATTGATTTATTCAAATATAAACATTTATTGACTTTTGAGTTTGGTACCGAAAATATTGTTTTGTCAATATATATAATAATATATAATAATTATTATATATTATATATTTATTTTTATACATATACATGTAAAAAAATATATAATATAATATACAAAAATGATCAATATTACATACAAGATGTCAGGGTAAAGATTGTGCCAATTATACTCGCGAGCAAGTAGAATACAGTAAACTGAACAGAAAAGTTTTATATCATTTTGCTAAATTCGCAATAATTGTTATATTATTAAAATATTTAAGCCAATGAGCGAATGAAAAGCGAAAGTTTGGAATTGGTAGGTATCATATACAATAGAATAGATCGGCTAAAAAGATAGTAGGGGTCGATTTATTTTATTGTCTATGTTATGCCTACAGATTCCAAACTATCGCTTTCCATGCGCCCATTGGCTTACATATTCAAATTAATCACATTATTTTGCAAAAGCAAAATGATATAAGATTTTTATGTTTAGTTTACTACAATGTTTTATCTACTCACGAGCGTTGACATCCGACAATTTGTATATTTGAGAATAATTATAATATAATATATATTAATTATAAAAGATAATATATAATATGGAAATCTAACATATGTATGGCTTATTATTTATATGTATAAGATATATCATAGAAATATTATTTTTCATTGACTGGAAATATTAAAAATCTTATTTAAAAACTAGAAATTAAATTGAACATTTTGTTACGGAAACATTAGTATCACATACGTACATATTATAAAATAAATCTTAACTTTATCTTGAAATAAATCTAACTTAAAAAACTTTGAACGCTTACAATGTTAATTATTACGCATATGTATCATATAAATATATATGATAAAATATATCAAAAATTTATTAATATTATTAATCTTCTTGTTATTAGTCTTCTTATAGTTATGATGAGTCTTCTTCAGTTCTTTGTTTATCTTGCTTCTTCTTTTCACCATTTAATCTTTCTTTAGCTCTTCGCAGCCATTTCTGAACTGCTTCTTCTAAAACTTTCTTGTTATATTCGGAATTACTATCTTGACCGGAAACTGTAATAAAAAAATCAGCATCTTGTAAGCAATAATTTATTTTTTTATTTATGTGATTTCATTAAGATTAATTATTTAAATAAGATAACATTAATAAATTAAACAAATAACATTATCTACTTATAGACATACTTACCAATTAGCAAGTCAGCGAGTTTTAAATGACAAAATTTCCTTTTCTGTTTTGCTCCTAGCCAACTATATTTTTCAGCCAGCTCGTTGGTCAACAAACGAGTACAATTGCGCTTAATAAATTCGTAAGGATTTTTTCCCCCTACTCTGGATACTTCTTTAACCTACAATAAATATTTTTTTAAAAAACATTATTTTGAAAATTACAAATATATAACAATATGTTTAACAATTAATTTAATAATTTACATGTTATTAATATTACTATATAATTTTATATTATAAATTTTAATAATATATCGCTCTAATAACCACAAATTAGATTTAAAATGTAATAAATAATATAGAATTAAAAGGAATTGAAAGAATCTATTTTATTTTTTTTGAAATTTATATATTAATTTAATTTAATAAATTTTTATTTTTAATTTTAACTTATTTACTAAGTTAATTTTTATTTTGTGATTTAGAATTTTAGATTAACTGTAATTGTTTTTAAAATATTTATAAAGATCTATTGTAAATAATTAACATTTTAAAAGTTAAACAATTAGTTATTAATTTTAAAAATCCAATAAAACTCATTAAAAAAAATTAATAATTAATAAATTATTATTACCGATATTTCGAACTTATTCGGTTGATTTAAAAATTGTTCCACGTGCTCTTCTAAATCTTCCACCGAATTAAAAGGAAGATGAGGAAAAGAAAAAATAGACTCTTCTCTTTCAGTTACATTGGGCCGTTGATGAACTTGTTGCAACAATTCATTTTTCATATCTTTTAAATCATCTGCTATTTGCCATAACTGGGTCTTAAAGTATGATTGCTGACGGATAATTTCTTTAAAATACTGAAGCACTGTAAATTAAAACAAAAATAATGTAAAGATTATTTTTTACTTACTAAATTCCAATTTTTTAAAGATTCCATTGAGATTATATATGTATATATAAAATAGTAATTTCAGAATATATGTATATTGAATAGATTTTTGTCCGTGCTATTAACGTATAGTTATGACATTTTATTTATAAAGTGCACAGACAAAGAAAGCAATCACAAAAACATTTTTAATATTTCTTTGTATAACAAAATAATAAATATAAATAATAAAATATAAATATGATTAAATATAAACATGATTAATATAAATATAATTATTGATTAAAATAATGATTAAGATAATGAAATATAATAAAGAAGATGGTGATAAAATGATGATAATGATAAAATAATGTTAATATAATAATAATATCAAAAAATAGAATAAACAGTATAATAATAATTAATAATTATTTCTTTACAGTTATTTACTGATAGCACAGACAAAACCTATGAAAAATTATAAAGTTAGTTTTAAACAATATAAATTATGTACCAATTTTATTGTCGACAACATCTTCTGTCTTATTATTTTGTATGTTGTGCTCATTGTCCTGCAAAATATTTGAAATATTCAAAAATCCATCTTGTAAGTGCTTCGTCCGTTTATTCGGAACTTCATTGGATGATTGATCCACTGATCTTGATTGACATTTGTTGCTCTTCGCATTTTCGTAATTTGTACTTTTCAATGATTCTATGTATAAAAAAAATAATAATAGTAGTTACATATATAATCTTTGTAATACACAAACTAAACATATTTAATAATATCAGTATATACTTATTTTATAATAATTTTAATTTAGTAGCTTTTATTATTATATTAATTTAATAATTTTATTAGTATTTTAGTTTTATATATAATAAAATATATAGAATACTGCATGAATGAACATAATAACATAGGAAATTCAATGCTAATTCTGAAATAATAAAAATATTGGCTCTTCTAACTGTTTTAGAATTAAATTTCATTATTTCTATTTTTTTGGAAAAGCATATCAAGTATTGTCCTATATTAGTTTTTTTATTGACCCATTTTAACTATATTGTTAAATACAATTTCTTTAAATCTTGAAGATTCATTAAAATTGTATTTAACAATATTGACTTCGCCAATTTAAAAAAATTATATGTATAATATATATATATATTATTATATATTATTATATTATATTTTAATGTATTATAATATATTTATAATATGTTAATTATTTAAAATCTATTTTCTCGGATTTTACAAAATTTGTTTTACATAATTTTGCAACTGCAGTTTTTCTATGTAAATACTTCTGTTAAGTTCTTCTGTATTATAGATTTAATTCAAGATATTGAATGACTAGCTGCTGTCATTAGGATATTATATTTCCCTACACGACATGAAAGATCTGATATGTCAATTGTGAAATGTTAAAATATTGATTTTTCTATTTATTTTCGAGCAAAGTTTTATTAAGTTTTTCGAATATTAAGATTAGTCGATTAAAATTTATATTATTAATGCAATTACTAAATTATGTAAAACAAATTTCGTAAAATCGGAGGAAGTAAGTTTTAAATAAATAATATATCATAAATATATTTTATAATACATTAAAATATAATATAATAATATATTATATATTTTTTATATTATATTATATATATTATGTATATTATATATTAATATTTAATATTAAAACGAACTTTGTGTGTTCATAATTGGAGGCGTCCGTAATTTAGTGCACTCTTCGGTAGATTCATCTGATGACGAAAAGAATTTCTTTGGGATAATTTTTCTTTTCGAAATGTTATCATTATCAGTCTCGGAGTTTAATTCAGATGTTAATTCAGCCTTTTTGGCTTTTTCCCTGGCTGTTTTATAGTTATCTGAAAATACAAGTAAATATATTTATATTATTATAACAAAAATAACGATTATGTACATATATTATTGATCACAAAAGTATATGTGGAATGTATAATATTTAAATATTTTATATTAACCATAACTGCTGTTTCTGAAAGTCATAACATTATATGAAGGCCAACATGTATTTGGTTCGGCATGTTTTTTGATAGCCGCTACAATTTTTTCCATGTGAAACGGTGGCCAATAACATTTTTTATTGATAATCCAGGTAGATGGGACAGCTTCAACTGTATCTTCATCTATAAACCTTACTATAGTCCATGATCTCTCCATTTCTTCAAACATTTCAACAAAAAATTTAAGGAGCATTTTATTCCAACAAAAAATTCTATTTACAATTTATATATGAAAAGGCGCAAACACTCAATAACTTATCACAAAAATTGCAAACCTATTTCCTCTATATATTATATTGTATATTATATATATATTATATTTATCTATATATTATTATAAATTATATAAAAAATTAACATTTTTTTAGCGAAGAGCACAAGAAAAGAAAAATTTTTAAAAATATTCTGAATGTAATAAGGGAAAAACTACATACTTATTTTTATATTTTAATTTCATACATTTATTTGCAATTTGCCCTAAATCCCAGGATTCTAAATTTCCAATATCATTGATTACATATATCCCTAATTTTGACGACTTACATGGTACGGTGTAAAAATCTGTAAGCGTTTTATATTTATTTCCGATTACGAAAAAGCCCTCATTATTTACAACAAAATTTCTAATAACAATAATGTTTTCGTCTTTTAAGCTACAGCAATTATCGGGTTCATTTATTTTTAAAATAAATTGTTTAAACACCGCTTTGCCAAATTGATTACAATTATGAAAATTAATAATAAGTGGACCATTAAAATGTGGTTTTAAAAATTGAGGCTCGTTACATTTCACTCTGACATTAGAATTTATACAATAGTTTCTTTCAGTTATACGACAAACAATTTGCTCTAATTCTTTATTATTTTTACGAATCATTTTTAATATAGATTGTAAGTAATTTTCAAACGGAAAAGCACTGAATTCTTGAAGAATTCCAAATTTTTTCGCGTCATCACAAATATGTAATAAATGATGCAGGTTGTGCGATGCATTTTCTTTACCATATAAATTAATAAATGTTTCTACAAAATATTGCAATAAGGAGTTGGAATAATCTAAATATTGTTCCATATGTTTTGAATTAGACAAAATAGTGATAGCTACATGTAAAGTTAAAAAATTTAAATATTGATCATGATTTAGAATAGATTTTAAAACAACAGATCCCGTATATAATAAAAAAGTTCTAAATTCGGTTGCCTTCCATCTTTTACTTTCAAACAAAGATCTTGATTTTCTATTAAATTCGGAAGGTATATATTTTTTTTGATGTTCTAATAACTTTGATATTTCAGATATTTGACAAAAGGATAACTTTGTTTTAGGTTTTCCGTAACACCATAAAGAAATCAGTTTTTTAACAACTCCCAAGAATATTAAATGCATCGGATCAGATGGAAAATCATTCACCATATTTATATTAGGAATCGATTCAAGTATTGATGTACCTATATGATGGTTTTCTTGTAATTTTAATCGGAAATCGTTATCTGTTCTTAATTGACAACTATTTAAATATGGATAAGTCATTCTATTGAGATAATATTTGCCCTTAGCTGTACATTTAAAACATGCGTAATAACCCGAATGACCCTTTGTATAAGTAATAAAACATCTAGCAGGAACATCGCATATAAAAGATTTAATTTTAAAAGAATAAGTGTGATCTTTAATTTTTATACCATGAATAGTTAAATTTTTTGCTTCTTCTGTGAAAGATTGTAAAAATACATTGGCATCTGTGGGTTTTTCATGTCCATGATAAATTCCAATGACATCAACTTCATTGTAATTTTCAACTAAATTACATAAAATGGGATAAACTTGACTACTTGAACTTTTGAATAATGGCAGGCCATCGATGTTAATGTTAACTTCAATACAGTGTAAATTTTGAAAAGAACATCGCGATAAAAGTCTTTCGATGCAATTACTTAAACCGAAATGATAGTAATGTCCTGGTGCAACGACGTCTACATTGATTTTTCTGGGAGTTCCTAATAAACTGCGAGCATTTTTAGGCAATTCCGGATATTTAAGTTTCATATTAGATATTAATTCATTTAACGCAGTATGAGTTATATTATTTTTAATTGCCCATTCTTGCAACCAAGATATAGAATTTGGAAAATCAGTAGTGGAATTTTAGATTTAAAGTTATTCACAAAATTTGTTTGTAGATTCAAAGTTATCAAAATTATGTTCTGTATCATCGGGATCACGGTCCGAATTATAATTATTCACGGTTTCTAAATCATTATTGATATAAAAATTATTGCAATCCTCTAAATTATTATTTGAAACTGAAGGTGTACTTTCTAATAATGGCATTAAATTCTTATTTTGAACATTATTAATTACTAAATTAGTTATCTCTTGTGCTCTTCGATAATATTTTCTTCTTATTTTTGGCATTTTTAAAATTAATATTAAAATTAAAATTATTAATATTTTTCTACCTTTAATTAATTGATGAAAATCCGTTGAAAATTCGAGAATCGATAGAAATAATAATCTAAAAAATTTATAAATAACGCTATTAGCAATCAGTACAAAAACATTTAAAAAAAAAACAAATAAACAATAATCGGAAAAAAGCGTTGATTTAGTAACGAATGTCCCATGTATACAGGGTGTTTCAGAAATAAATCGCCAAACTTAAAAAGCATATTTTATTTACTGTAAGGATGAAAACAATAACAGATTTTAATAAATCTTTTATAACAGATTTTAAGAACATTTGAAACTGTAACATTTCATTACAGAAATTGTTGAAAATAATTTCTTCCACATTAATGCACGTGTCGCATCGACATCGCATAGATATTATCGAAGACGTCCAAAAATTCTCGAAATATTATTTTGTCACACGAAATGATAATACGATTCGGAGTACTTTCACAGTAATAATACAAATATCATAAATGATTCTATAATATTATTACAGATCCATCTAATAACTTTTTGTTTATTCTAATAAAAAGTGAATAGGACAATTCATGAAACGAAGCGAGATATGTTGCCCGATGTAAATAAAAAATGTTTATAACTTGAAAAGAAAGCTGTTCCGAATGTTTATATACTTTTTATCATTATAGTGGTAGAATATGCTCTTAAAGTTTAGCGATCTATTTCTAAAACATTTTGTGTATAGATTATTATCTAAAGATTATAGAAATAGGAAACGAATATGAAAACGAAACGTTCAATCAATTATATAATGAATGAAGGAAATTATGCGTGCGTGTGTGCGTGCGTATGTGATGTGTGCGTGAATGTGACAAAATTATTATTATATAATTATAGTAAAACGTCTTACCTTGATAAATTTCTAGCAAATGTCCAATAGATTGTGCAATGGTCGCAACCTCACAGCACTACACTACGTGTATGTATACGTGCTTACAATCGTCGACCGAATAAGGAAAGGTTCACTGACCCAAACATTACACTATCCTATAATAAGGATTCGCGGTTGTTTTGGTCTTGCGCATCACCGCGTGCGAGTACCGCGACGTCAAGGACGAGACGCAGTACCGTTAATTCTGACGGGGACATGTGCCCCGATAATAAATAAAAGTAAATTTATAGATTTAAATAAAATAAGTTATTATTAATAAATTATATTTAATGGTATATAAAAAAATAATAATTTAATATAAAAATAATTAAACTAAACATTAGTGTAAAAATAATTATAGTAAAAAAATATTGCGATACTAAAATAAATATTTAATAATAAAATACAATAATTATTTAATAATAATAATAATAATATACATATATTTTGATCGTGGCATTAAAAGAACAGATTTTGTAATATTAAAAATTATTTCTCAAATATATAAGTTTAGTTATAACATTAAATGATACTATAAAAACATTTTCAAACATTTTTTATATATAAGTAAATGTTAAAAAATATTTGTTGTGATATATTTATTAATAACATATTTTTAATATATAATGACATATATTCAATAAAAATTAAAGGAATTTTTGAAAAATATTTAAAACATTTTATAGGAACGAAAGGCAAATATTTTTAAACGTTAATATAAAAAAAAATCAGTATTTAAATTTGAACATATATTGAATGTCCATAGGATGTACTGTTAGGACATTTGATTCATATCCAAAAAAGGACATCCAATTTATGCCCTATTTATGTCCATGGACATATGGACATAAATTGGATTTAAATGTACGTCCATAATACATCCAGTGCTATCTGGGTAGATGTCAACGACATTTAATAAATTCATGATCATGAAGTTTGACTTTACTACTTTCACGTTGTCCATTAATACCAAAAGGATATAAATTTGGAAAACACATTAAATCTAAATCTTTACGATTATTTAAAGGTGCATTTTCAACTTTTAACATTTGGTACAATTCTGTAGAAGTTTTATTGCTTTTTTTTCATATAGGGAGATAAATAGTGTATTCTTATAATAACCATCTTTTCCATCGTAACTTGAGTAACATTGCCTTATGTTTATTGTCTAATATATTTTCAACACCATTTTTTGTCTCATCTATTGGATCATCTATTAACTCATTCAGGTTTGTCATCTAATATCACTTTTGTCTCTTCTACTTGAAATTCTGAATTTTTAATTGTTTTAAAATGTTTAATTTATTATGATCATTTGGCAATATAATGGTAGAGTATAAAAAATTGTTGTCCTTTAACCATGTTAAAGCGTCAAAAACTTTTTAACATTAATCATATTTCCCGATATAAAAATGGTTTTAATGTTAGCTGAAAATGGACATGTCGTCAATTTCGATTTCATACTCATCATTAACGAGCAATACCACCTTATTCCGATAATATATAGTATCTCTGGTTCTCGGAACCTACATTTCCAAGAACGTTGTTGGTACTTGGTAATGTTCTTCAAGTATCAACGTTTCATCAATTACTGGAATTGAGATCGTAGTTGGATCAACTCCAATAGTTTGAAGATACTTAAATTTGCTGGATTAGATCTGATGAAATCCTCAACGAGACGTTCATTTAGGTTTTCCTCAAGCATTAGATCTCTTGCTGCTCTGAGGAATTTACTAGCGTAACGGGTTCAAAGAAATAAAAGCTTGACCAAACTAACCTAGCAATAGTATCTAGCTTGAAAGAACAGTTCTTTCAGGATAGATTGTTGAAGCTATGATAGTGTCCAAAGGTTTAAAAGGAGTACCACTATAATTGTAATACCTCAAGAAATGGACATTAGATGAATTTGTGGGTATTTGACNTAAACTTCGGCTCGTATACAATTAAAATATGTGATATAATAAAGGCCAACTTAACGAGCTTATATGCTATTAATTGAAAAATTTTGTTTATTAATTTACGTCCTACTATACAAAAGTTACGATAAACGTTTCGACTGTACGACGTCTTTCTCAATATCTTAATAATATGTTAACAAAATTAATTTAGTCATTTCGACATCATAAATAAATACAACAATTATAAGATTATATGACGAACGCAGTACAAAATTCATGATTGTTGCATGAGTTAGAGCGTCAGAGCCTGTTATATTATGTAACGACACTGTGAACAAATTAATATATCCGCTCAAATATTACAATACATTTAGATTTTTAATAAATAGTATTAACTTACTTTTTGTCAACGAACATAACACCCTTGTTTAAAAAATTATTTCTTTTACTTAACATAATCAAATGTGTACTTTTTAAAAAACAAATCGATATCTGTATCTTACAATGTCGGCGCGCTGTGTATTATACCCAATTTTTTTAAGGTGACGTAGACAATTTTTTTAGAATATCATAATAAGAACCGTCAGACGCTCGGTGTCCTTTTTTAGGTTGATACTGTTGTTTTCTTCTTTAATATGTATCATTTCTGATATCAACCGTTTATAATAATTCTTTTCATAATCTAGGATTTTTGTGTCGTTCCAATTGAATTGTGTGTAAATTTTCAATATGATCAGAAACCACCGAGTGCCTTGCTGAATCTAATCTAATATTATTTTTATGTTCATTTACTCTTGTACCTAATTGTCTTTTCGTCTGTCCCACATATGTAGCATCACAATTATTACACGAAATCTTATATATGACCCCCGAATTATTTTGGAGCTTATCTCTGTCTTTTTGCGTTTTATGACTCTGTTTAATTTCTTTAGACATCTGTATCCTACTGTTATATTTATTTCTTAATTCTGATGCTACTAGTTCCGAGATTCTTTCAATATAAGGTATCGCTATGAATTTTTTATTATTGTCATTATTTATGATTTCGTTATTTATATCTTGAGTCATTTCTTTGTTTTAATCTATTAACAATAAGGAACTTCAGTCTATTATTGATTTCTGAGAAAGAGATCAAGAGGATAACTATTGCTCAATAAAATCTCTATGATTAATGTTAAATTTTTACTATGAAAACGGGGATGTGATAATAATATTGACCGTCTACTAACTTATATATTACACTTTTTTTTGTGGCATAAGGATGATTTGAATGATATGAGAGTGTCCTACCGAAAATGTTTTTTTTCTGAAACCAATCTATGTATATTATGTTATTTATAATTTGAGTGAGAATATCTAAAAAACTTATGCTACGGTTAATCCTCTCTTTCTATTGTGAATTTAAATCTATCGTGACAATCATTAAATTTTCTACTAGATATGTGACTTGATCTTCCGGCAAGCAAAGCAAGATATCATCGACGTAGCGATAGTAAAACCTTATATTAACCTTATAGTTTCAAGAATCCTAGTTTCTATATCTTGCATGACAATATCAGCAATAATTGGAGATAAAGGCGATCCCATAGGAGTTCCCTGTATTTGTTTTTAGATCGTTTCGTTGAATGTGAAGTACGTTGAAGTCAAAATAAATTTATTACATTAACAACTCATTTTTGTCTATTGATGTGTGGTTTTCAATGTAAGGCCATCTATTATTTATGCTGTCTATTGCAAGGTCCACAGGAACATTTGTGAACAACGATATCACATCCAAAGATACGATTGTTTCATGTTATTTAATTTAAGATCAGACAAAGCGTTGCACAATTCAAAACTATTGTTAACATGACTTTTTGCCTTTGGGTAAACTTGTCACTAAAATGTTGTGTAAATATGCAGCTAAATGATGTAGTGCTGTATGACCGATGATACTATTACTCTGAATGGAACATTTTCCTTGTGAATTTTTGGGCAAGCCATATGCTTAGAAAGCACTGAATCACTGGAACTTAAACAATAATAGTCTTTTTTTGTGATCCATTCATTTTTTAACCCTTGTTTTAAATTTTTGTTAAGGTCTTTTTCTATTTTTATATTGGATTTTTTTGATTGTCATATAATTATCTTTGTCATTTAATAATTCTTCAACTTTGTCTATATAAAATTCTTTGGTCATTGCTACGGTCGTGTTTCCCTTGTCTGCTCTTGTGAAAATGAATGCTGGGAATTTGTTTACAAATGTCATGGTTTTTGGTACATAAAGTAAGTTTGTCGTTAATTATGTCTTCCTATATTGTTGTTTAAAAAAACAAAGAACTGTGGAATAGCTATGTTTCTTATTGTCGTGAGATTAGTTATGTTATTCGAATTGCTTTCTATGTCTTTAATGAATTCATGACAGCTGTTTTTTTTATCAGTATTAATAGGAAGGCTAAATTCACTACCTAATTGCAATTGCAACTAAATTTGTGACATCATTGGAATATCTACATCAGTCAAATTAATAAACCATTTATCATTGGTTTGTTCTAATGGATTAATGTTTTCTTTTTATAAAATTTTTTTGCGTTAATTTGGTTATTAATATATTTATTATTTTTGAGAGTTTACACTATTTTTCTCTAAACAAGAAAAAACTATGGTTTAATATTATTAGTAGTATCCGATCTTTTTTTTGCAATAACCAACAGAATTTTTTTCTTATGTAAGTAATGTAAGTTTAAAATTTGTTTTTTGAATAATCTACTATGGTGGTTATAAATCTCTTGCCATACCTTGGATGGGATGTTTGTATTTAATCTTTGTGTAAAGTATCTTATGTTTTGTTAAATACCCTATTTGTCTGTGCAAGTCAAATTCTCTATGTTTAATATTTTCCATTCTAAATTTATGCAACACACTGTCTAACCTTTTTTGATTTATAATGACATACGTTAATATTACTATTGTCTGATAGATGCTTAGGTAAAACTCTGAATGTCCTACATTGTTTAAAATATTAATTTGGACACATTTCTTATTTTTGCCATATTCGCCCCTTCCCAAGATTTTTAAATCTTCAAAGCTTGTGTCCATATTAATTGTTGTACAACTTAAATTAAATTGTGGAACTTAAAAGTGTATAATTAACGCATTGTAAGGCCGCGTGAATTAAATAAAATAATAAAATATATATTTTATAAATTAAACTTCGGCTCGTATACAATTAAAATATGTGATATAATAAAGGCCAACTTAACGAGCTTATATGCTAATAATGAAAAATTTTTATTTATTAATTTACGTCATACTATACAAAAGTTACGATAAACGTTTCGACTGTACGACAGTCTTTCTCAATATCCTAATAATATGTTAAAAAATTA